CACTCTCGTCAGCCTGTGACCGTCAACCTTCAGCTGTTGCCCATCCTCGACCGCTGCCTACTGGTTCGCTGCTCATATTTGTTACCGTAACTTTCTTATCACAAGGGCAATTGGATTTTTTGGGTTAAAAATTGTAAATTGTGATAAATGCAGTGGTAGATAAATACGAATGCAAAATCCGAAGTTAATCTCTTGAATATTTGGTAGCCCTACGAGACAGCGAAGAGGAAAAAATGATTAGTAAAAGGAATGTGGAGGTCCATGTCATTGAAGTTATTGACATAGGAGGGGGAAATTTTAGGGAAGATGTGAAGAGCAGTGGATGTAAAGTTGAACGAGAGCAGCAATTGGAGGTTGTTTCAATATTTTCCGCTAAATAAAAAAAAGAGAGAAATTATTTGACCGGGCAACGTTGTGTCCCCTTAAACAATAAAAAAGAAAAAGGCAGGGAAAGAGTTATTACCTTGTTTTCTTTTCCACGACCCATCCCTTGTGTTCATCTACCTTTCCAAGAGCTGTTTTCCACGCCTCTACTTCGGTGGGAGACTGCTTCTCGTGTTCCTCGAGAGCAGCTTTATAGGGGGCATCGCTATCTGGTCGAGTCTTAAATTTAAGATCGTTAGGTTTCACGAGGTAAAAAATAGGAAAGATACTTTTTTGACCCCCTGAGGTATACACATTATCTACCATGAGCTTAAGCTCACGGAGGCACCATTTACTGGAAGCATAATTCCGAGAAAAGATGAGTATGTAGAGTGTGAAATTATTGATAGCACGTTCAAGTCTATCACTAATAACATCACCGACGCGGAGTTTTTCTTCGTCCCTGAATGTGTGGACTCCGGTATCTACCAAGCGATCGTAGAGGAAGCCTGTGAAATTATGACGTGTATCGTTTCCTCTAAATTCAGGAACACATCGTACTCACATCTTAATGCTCTTGCAGCATCACTACTTGTTCTAGCCTTCCAGTTTGCCATGGCTAGGAAGCTTGTTACTTCCAGATATCTTGCTCTCCCCCAAAAGAGAATAAAGGGTTGGTGGAGCGGGGCCTGGCAAAGAAGTGAGCTGAGGTTTTCGATATGAGCGTAGCAAATCACTGCCAATATCTTAAATACTTGGCCGGCTCACTTTAAAATCAAGTTTAATTGCCTACTTCCCACCTAAGACTCTGCATTAGCAAGTTGACACCGGTAATGGTGACAAGACTTTTTAACAAGTTAGGAAATTTTTTAAAGAATACTTGGGAGACCTTGAAGGGCAATCAGACTTTAGTTTTCCTTTGAAATAAGGGTTAACACTACGAAATATCCTAAACTACTACATTTGTGATAAATTTATGAACTAATTTTTTAACCATGAAAAGCCCTAAACTAGTACATATATGACAAATTTATCTCAAACTAATTTTTTGACCACCAAAAACCCTAAATTGGTACACATGTGACAATTTGATTGTACCAATTTGGAGTTTTTCATGATATTAACTCTAAGGATTGCCACGTGGACTTGCCACATCACCATACCAGGTCACCATGTGTAATAAATCTATTGCCAATTCAGTCCTAAACCTTTCAATTTTGCCAATTGAATTCTGAATATTTTCACATTTTTGCCAATTGAGTCCATGTGGCCAATTTTGGCCGAAATTGGTTGACATGGACACTAGTCTTCCTACATGGCATGGACGGTATAGGAAGGCCGGCGCTGACTTGAATAATTTTTAATAAATATTTTAATTTTTTTTCAAATTATTTGTTTATTTATTTATTTCTTCTTTTTCCTTTTTTTTCTCTTTTCCTTCTTTTTTTTTTCCAACTAAGGCCGGTGAGGGTCGTTGGGCCCCCGCCGGCCATTGGGCAAGGCCAACGAGGGTCGCCTGGCCCTCACCGGCTGCTGGCGAGGGCCACTGGAACCTCACCAGCAACAGGTGTGGGTCGCACAGCCCTCCCCCAGCCTCGCCCACGGCCGCAATGGCCTTCTAGGCGAGGCAACCTCGCCATGGCCTCATCAGCTGCAGGCGAAGGCGGTCTCGCTAGCCATAGTTGAAAAAAAAAGGAGAATGAATAGAGAAAAAAAATATTTCAAAAAAAAATTAAAATATTATTAAAAATTATCAACGACAACGCCGATTATGCCACGTAGGACGTCCGGCATCCATATCTGCGAATTCCGGCCAAAATTGACCAAATGGACTCAATTGGCTTTGAGGAGAAAATGTTTAAGACTCAATTGGTAAAATTGAAAGATTTAGGACTGCATTAGCAAAAGTGCAATAAGTTTAGAACTCTGTGGAGAATTTTCCCGTCAACTTACACAAGGCCAGTAGCTTGTGTAGCGCCTCGCATTGTTTTTTTTTTTTTGTTGATAAATGCCTTGCATTTTTTAGAACTATTTCAGGAACGGTATCCTCTTATGTTTTGAAGCTTTAATGACTACTTTCAAACACTACTGATTGTTGTAGGGATGACATTTTGCATTAAAATATTTTGTAAAAAAATTGTACATATGTAAAGGACCAAACTGAACAAGCCTACCTCATTATAACTTTTTGCAATCATTTAGGGTTAGTTCATCTCTCTTCTTCCTCCACGTACCTATGTAATGTAGAAGGAAATAGAAAGAACGTGCCGCAATTAATGATCAATATTAGTCTTCAATTCTCCTAAAATGGGAACAAGGAAAACAAGAAAGGACAAAAAAAGGCCATTATGCAACACCATTAATAACATGCCCTCACATGACCCAATTTAAGCTCACCAAAAAGAACCCATCTTTGCATTATTAATTCTTGGCTCTTCAATTTTTTGGGAGACAGTTTCTGACAACTAAATGATGGATGAATTATTTGGACATATAGTTTAAGGTAATGCCTAGCAAGACAGGCTGCCATTGGTTTGTCTTTTTTCTAATCGATGCAGTAAAATGGATTTGTTTATATGGTTTTAGCAGTTAAGCATGGTTCAAATTTATATAGTTGTTACTATGAGTTTGTTAGCACTCTCTCAATCACGAGTTCTATGTATGACTTTATCTCCATTTCTCTTATCTATAGATGCCTTCAACTAAGTCTCAGGATGTAAAGAGTAACTTGGGAAATACGGAGGGATGGGATCAGTAATTATGTCTATATTAGAAGGTGCAAATTTCTAATTTTTTCTAATCTTTTATGCGTGTAGCAACACTGTGCATCAATATGCACTTACTGTGCAAAACAGAGAGAGATTGAGTGAGACCAACAAAACAGAAAAGACTCTCTTTCCCAAGAAAAAAGTGGGTCCGTGGGGCTAGAACTGAGTGGAGGTTTTCAATATGAGCTAATAACGTGTGAACCCTCACCAGCAAAAAAGTGATGACGACCAAGACTAACTTGGTCTTTGTTGGTCGGCTCTCTTCGATATCAAAAGTAGCTATCAAAATGATGAAACAATTCCATCGGCGGAAATATGATATGAAATGCAGTAAGATAAAGTGTTAGTAAAAGCAGAGAAATGACAATGATAATTCTCAACATATTACTCTCATTGGCGCTCCTAATTTTTCAGCACTACCTCTTTTAGGAATTTTTACAACATTATTCATTAGCTTCTGTTGGTGGCGACAATTTATGGCCGAGATACTGAAGAGTGATCCAATTATCTATATGAGTTAGGAGAGTATAGCGAAGTATGGGGAGTAAAGTCATACTGAAGAGGGATTCAATTAACTTCGTCCGTAGATTTTTCAATTATCTGTATGGTGTATTGGTTAACATTTAGATCAGATCGTGGAAAGGGTACTTCGACTGGTTTGAGTCAAGAGCTGGAATGACTACAGAATTAGATTAAATCATGAATAAAAAGGCAGTTTATTGCAGGACACACCATTACCTTAGAAGTTACTTAAATTGTGGAAATAGAGAAAATCATGGAAATATCGAGCACCTAGAGAGGGGGATCATACATGAATTCCAACAACTGTCAAAGGAAATCCCAGAAGTATAAATAAAAAGAACACAGAGAAAAAAGGGTTGCCCAAGCTGTGCCAAAACTCTGCCAAATTTTCCTCCGAAGCATTTTCTATGTGGAATCAACGTCTTTCAATTTCAGTTCTAGTTTTAAAGTTTGTTATTCTTCATGTGCATTGTGAATAATAGTGTAGTTTTCAATTCAATGTTTGCAATTTAGCATTAATGTGCCTGTAACTTTGAGGATATTTCAATTTCAATGGAGTTTCTTAGTGATTTCTTTTCCCGTGTTTGCACTTTAATTTTAATTTTAGTGATCATCACTCTAACTTGCCATTGATATCTTTTAATTTCCGACGTCGTACTTTGCTCTTACACTCGACTGCGGAGTCGTCGGCGGCGGCAGCAGTTCAAGGACTAATTTGTTTGATCAAAAGTCAGTTGAAGGCTTAATTAGACATTTTGTAACAGTTTAGGGACTCCAACATCTTTATCTTTTATTTTAATATTTTGTACTAAGGCCGTCGATCAACTTATACAAAATCAACAGCCCATACAATGCACAAGATTATCAACAATTATTTCAAAGAATGGTATTTCCTAAAACTTTGAAGCTTTAACGACTACTTGTAAATACTACCGAATGTCATTGGTAAGACATCTCGCATTAAAATATGTCGGACGGACATCAATATTTGTCAAAAAATTGTACATGTACAAAGAACCAACCTGAGCAAGCCTACCTCATCGTAACGTTTTGCAATCATTTAGGGTTAGTTCATCTCTCTCGTTCTTCCTCATTTCGAAGGAAATACAAAGAACGTGACACAAATGACTAAATTATTAACCTTCGACTCTCCCAGAACAGAGGAAAGGGACACAACGAAAGCAAAAAAGAAATAGAAAAAGGCCAATACGCATGTAAGTGGTCCTAATTACTCCTTGTCGTTTTGTCGACTGCAACCCCAATAATGAAGTGCCATCTCTAGGCACGTATCATTCACTAATGGGATGAACGTCTAGTCTACAAACGTAAAGCTCCAACATGTTGAGAAAATATTAGGTAGGACTCGCATTCCACCGTGGCAAAAAATGAGTATCTCAGCGTGCGACACGTGTCGCCGGGCCCCACCCGGTCAGATAACCTCCAATATTTTGAAAATATAGCGCCTCTCTCCTCTCATCTCTCACACTCTCGCGCCCCAACCCCTCTCTCTCCTCCCGGCTCAGAACTTGGCGCTCCCTCCGACTCTTCCGACGCCGGCGCCTCCGCCTCCGCCGGCGCTTCCGCCTCCGCCGACGACGCCGACGCCGATGCCGACGCTCCTCTATGCGCTCGCGCTCCCAACTTCTCTCTTCTCACAGACGTGGCGCCTCCGACGCCGACGCCTTCTGCACTCTGAGAACTCGCGCTCCCTCCGACACCGCCTCCGACGCCCACGCCGATGCCTCCGCCGACGCCTCTGCCCCCAACCCTTGCCGACGCCTCCGCGTCGGCCATGCCCTAGCCCTAGCCTCTGCCTCGATGCTCTGCATCCGCAAGCCCCGAAGAAGCGACGGTGGAAGGCGAAGCCGTAGCCAAAGGAGGAGGTCCACCACCAGCAGCCGCAGCCGGCGGCGGCGGCCAAGTCTTCGTCGTCGTCGTCGGCGGTGGCCAGGGAGAAGAGGTCGCAGCAGCAGCACGCGGTCGACGAGAAGTACGCCCGGCGGAAGTCCCTCGTCCCCGTCCTCTACGACTGGCTGGCCAACCACAACCTCCTCTGGCGTTCTCTCTCTTGCCGGTACTTCAAAGGCCTCCTATTTCTCTGTTCGCTGTTTTGCACAAGCTTAACTTCTCTTTATATCAATATTAGTTGGTGAATGTAGGTGGAGTCGCACAAGCTTCTTTGGGATGAGTTTGCAATAGCTGCTGATGTGCGTGAGTTTGGTGGGCTGGAAGTTATTTTGGACATGATCCAGGTAAAAAAAATTTTGCAACAGAAAGTCCTGTACTGCAATATCTTCTATTTCCTGCTTACCGAAGATGTCCTTGTGCGGGGATCTGTGAAGTGTAGATATGTGCTTACGGATTTGCATTTTTTAGCAAAATGAAAACTTTCCCTTTTGTGGATATGTACAGAGTGTTTTTTAGATTCTCTGGACGTCTGCTGATAATAGTGTGCATTCTGATTTTGTATTCTGCTATTCTATTCATTTCATATTCCAGAACTTGGCTTTGGACATTGAAACATTAGATTTTTGTTAGCTTACGGAAATAGTGTAGGAAATAGAGTATGGCTATGGGGAATTTTATACTTACTTGTGTATTCATATCACTAGAGGACTCTGAGGTACTCCATTTGGTCATCTAAAGTTTCAATTGAATGGTTCTTTGAACCAAACAATTTGACTTAAGAAAGGAAAGAGTTTCTTGTGCTACAGTTGTTAGCAAGGATCGTTCTGAATGTAGATTTGGCTAAGTTGGCATTCCACATTCTTAAATCCTGCAAAAAGGGTCTCTAGAATCAAATTTTCAGCTAAGCAAGGAGAAGCCCACTTTGCTAGCAATGTATTGCTGTTATCTGCAGTATGGACTACCATTGAAAATTGTTTCATATAAAGATTTGTATGGATGGACAATGGATGAAATAGTAAAGATTATCGGATTGAAGAATAACTGCACATTTTGTGGGGTCTTCCGCCGTCAGGTATAGAAGCCATCTTCTACTCTATCTAGGGGAATGGGGATGTGCACATCCTTTTATTTGCAGCCCTTGGAATATGAATCGCTAAAAAGTTCTGTTGACAACAGCATGTTAAATGGGATACTGTGCCATTGCACACTTCCTACCAATCCCCCCAACATTAAAAAGACTACTTCACCTAATCAGGGCCAAATCTAATTATGCCTGCTGAATTGCTTTACCTTTAAGGCTCTTGACCGAGGCGTTGCGCTGCTGAAAGTAGACAAGCTTGCTATTGGACAAAATGCCGATGATATTGCTGAAACAGTTCTTTTAAATATTTTGCGGGGTGACATTGCCCGGTAAGTAGTTATTTATCAGAGCTTACCTCTGGTTTCTTTTTTTTTTTCTTTCAAGACTTATTGCCCTTCTATTGATATTGTAGATTGAGTAGGTGTACTGCAATTACAACTGGTGAAGACGGACCAATTCCTAGGTGTAAACCTTTTAAGTACACGTACGAGAAAGAGATCGTCATATATCCTAATAGTTAAATTCTTCTGCATTTTACCTTTAAAGAACATATATGAGAAGGAGATTGTGATATGTGTACTGGAGTATTCACAACTGTTACTTTCTTTATTGGTGCCATTGATTGCAACCCTTAACCTACTCAACACGTATGCATATTTCAAGAGGCTGGATTGTTTCTCAACTGAATGTAAGTGTCCTCTGCCAACTCCCACTTCCCTACATTGTGCTTGATGTCACTTGTGCAGAACTTATCTGGAATTTCGACCTTCCATTTGTCCTGTATGGGTTCACTTGTTAGTTCATCATGTTTGTGTTATGGTTATATAATCTGCAACGTAGTCACGTGAAGTTCAAGAGCTTTACTTGGGTATGTTGTTTCATATTAGATGAAACATATTGTTGCTATATTGCGTCCACTCCACAGATCCTCTTTGTTTGCTGATTCACATCAATATATTCCCAGCAGTAGACTGGATGCACTTGATAACTATTTCTGTGCTCACGTGTGAGGTGTCAATCTAGGATATGCACTTTAATGGGGATGTAAAGTTTCAAAGATTTTTCCCTTCTAAATGGTTTGGCTGTATCTTCTAGAGTTTTAGCATACTCTGTGTGCGTTGGGCTAGATGTAGAAGTATTCTCATATTGCACCATGATTATATTATATGATCACTGCTTGGACTTTGCTGAATTAGTTTACCGAAATGGCAGGCATCTATTCTCCTAATGCATATCGGGGTTTTGCTCGTGAGTTTATTAAGGACTTGGAAAGAATAAGGTCTTGTTAACCTCTTTCTTACAATACTGCAGTATGATGTGATTTATTATTCTTTTGCATTCTTTTGCTTACTACTCGATTTATAAGATTGCAGACCTAGAGCCATACTCGACATTATAAAATCAGGTGAAAATTTCAGAATATCTACTTCAACAAAAATGCCAGAGCAGGGGACGTGTGAACGCTGTGGTTACATTTCAAGCCAGGTAAAGTGGACTTCTCTTCCTCGGGTCTGACTTTAAAATGTAAGAAAGGAATTGACACAGCTTCTCTCATCAGCTATCTATGCTGAGTAAAATTTGAACTTTAATATATTTTGTTGGTCTTGTTGGAACATAATTCACTTATTGTGTGCTATCTGGCAGAAATGGTGTAAAGCCTGTGTTTTGTTGGAAGGACTGAACAGGGGGTTGCCAAAACTAGGAATAGGGCGGACTTGAGTCTCATATATCCCAAAAGCATATGCTAAGTTTCGTCTTTGCTACTGATTGATGGTAAATCTTCCAGATGCTCCAAATAGAGCAAAAATTTTGAAAGTCATACTGGCAAAGGAAGACTTCTGCAGATGTCGACTTGGACGGAATTGCAAGCATGACAGATGGTAACTCAGGAAGTGACCTAAAGGTGACACCGTAGAATCTTAACTCACACTATTCACTAGTGGAGAATTCACTCTCACCTATTACTGTCTTATTGCAGAATTTATGTGTATTCGAAGCGCACAGGCCAATTAAAGAGATATTGGAAAAGGAGAAAAAGTTCCACATCTCCTCATAATTTGATATGGCTACTTTACTCGTACTTTGATTATGGCTGATAATATGTGCAACTCATGGCAGGAACGCGCTGCAGCTCTAGCAGAAGGCAAACCTGCTCCAGCTTTGAGAGGGAGTGCTGATATACGGTCTCTCAATATGGAAGATTTCAAATATGCACATGAACGGGTAAAAATTATTCAAAAATGGCACTTTTTTCTCAACATAGCGTGATCGTCCACAAACCTATAGCTATTTTACAACTTAGTAGCATTTCATTTTCCGTATTGTTGGTGCAGCTTCAATTGATTTCGTATTTGTGTTGTTAACATGGAAACAGGTATGTGCGAGCGTATCATCCGAATCTATTAACATGACCGAGCTTCTGCAGTGGAATGAACTCTACGGTGAAGGCGGTTCAAGAAGAAAGAAGGCACTCAGCTATTTCATGTGAAGTATTATTGTTCACTAATTCACAATTACAATTTTTGACCCGTTGCTCGTCCTCCGAAAAGCTGCTGCGTAATTAATCCATTTTGTTTTTGTAACCTGGGAAGCCCCTTGTTTTAGTTTCTCCTTGTAATGTTTTCTTGCCAAGTTTTATTTTTTTTCCATTTTTCTTGGATTGTTGGTATAAAAGAGAGAGAGAGAGGAAAGCCTTTAATGGCTTTTAATTTGGATCCGCATCATATCTGTCCTCTTTTGCTTTCTATTCTGCTATTACGATTTACTGATTCTCATATAATTTGAACTTTTGTTCATCTCTTTTAGGTGAAGTCCTTACTGTCACTATGTTAATAGTGGTCAGATAAGATCTCTCTCTCTCTCTCTCTCTCACACACACACACACACACACACACACACACACACATAAAAGCACACCTGCGCTTGCGCACTTGAAACAATAGAAATGTGCGTTTATTTTGTAGAAGAAAACAAGAATCATCACATATCATGATCTTGAAAAGCAAATCACTGTCTCCATCCGCCTGGCCTGCTTGGTATTCTATTCAAGCTTTTAGGTGGTTATGAACCCACCACAGCCATCAGAATCTTACATTCCAAAATCCTCTCTCAACTCGGTTGCCTTCTCTTCTCCTCCTTTTATTTAATTCAACAAAATTCGATCAACTGATTTAATTGATTCAACAAATTGCCCTTCCCGTCAAGCTTAATCGTAGCCTTAATTCCATAGCTATGGAAGATGTTCGAGTTCAGAGGCAAAAAAAAATAGAATGGTCTTTGTCAAAGTGAACACAAGAATAAAAGGACCCCACGATTCTAATTATTGTTACGCCAATCATGTACAAATGACTAGCCTCCCTCAAGTAGTATGAGTAATCCTCCACATGTTAGCAAAAAGGAGAATTGGAGTAAACATACTAGGTTTTACATGTAATCGAAAATAAGATTTGGTTGGTGTATTGATTAATTCGGGGTGATGAATAGAAGAAAAACCATGGTGGGGCCCTAGAAATTCCCATGGCTACCATCCTATAAAATTGGATGTTAGAAGAAGCCCTCTTTTGTAATCATTAAATGTTTGGGAATTTCAAAACTGTGCTTAAGTCACTCACTAGGACAGAGAAAGCGCCTCATCCACAATGTTCGTCGAATCTATCGAGCTCGTTCACAAATCAATGCATGCCATGCAACACAGCTAGGGAAGCTAAATGAGGCACATATACAAATAACTACCGCAGGCAAGCATATTGGGCAACCTTATAGTAACACCATCATGGTTTCAACACGCACCTGCATATACTTGGAGAGACATTAAGATTCACATTGTTAGTCTCTAATCCCCAATTTCAACTGATTAGAAAGACTTCTCAAAAGATGCTTAATGTCCTGATCACTACAACTAGTACAATACAAGTCTTTTGGCACGGTTGTGGTTACATCTTTTCCCCAACAGGGAACACCCCAAAACTTACAGCCTCCATGGAATTGGGAACAAAAACACAAGCTCCCGTTTTAGTACAATGAGATGTCAAGCTTCCACGGAATGTCCAGGAAACCACGGAAGTCCTGGCTGAATGCATTGTTTTGAGTCAGGAACTGGGACAATTGGTCCGAGGAAAATACACCACAAGTCAAGTATGATTGTCACCAGCATGGCTGCACCCAAAGCATCGACAGCTACTGTTGGCAGGTCCCAAGGACTGCTTCTCATCAATCCTGCAGGCACAAGTTCATTTTCAGCTGACAATGTTGCATGAGCTCCAATGATTGACCAAGTACAAAACGTTTGACTAGAAAAGACAAAGCTACAACTGGCACATATCCTCTTCCATATTCTCCAATTCTTCCACTTCATATCAAAAAGAAAAAAAAGGGAAAAAATGGTGCAATTGTATTTTTCTAATGAGTAGAAGCATTATTCCTTTTAATTTGGATATATGAAACATAATGTATGAAAAGCAACCACATAATTGAATATATGCCAGAGAACATGAAGAAAATGGCGCGCACAATGCAGATCAACCTTGTCAGAATTTATGGCTCGTTAACCAGATAATGTTTTCATTTGTTTAGATGATTGCATCTACATTTTTCCATTGCCTTCATTCTGGCATATGGTTTCACTATTATGAAAACGCAATACTGGTCAATGTAGTTATTTATCAATGAAATCATTGTCCGAATTGATAAAGTACAGACCGTGCATTTATACAAGCTAGAACCTATAATTCTCTCGGTTACAATTTAAATTCATTCTAAGACAAGTACATCCATATCACTCCACATGATTGCGCAGCCGTGATGTGCGCGTGTTACTGCTGAATCATGCATTTTTTGAAACAAAGAGGATAAGAACCCATAAAATAGGTGTTGGGCACATAAAGTTCTCACCTCAGAAACATCGGAAAGCTTACAATGAAGTATATGGCATAAAACAAGGACCCCACTTTATACATGGACGCCCGGTCTACAAATTCATAATAAGGAAACTGCAAACATTGAACGAAACGAATTAGGTTTGCATAATCCCTGCATATCATATTACTATTTAAGCATCTGTAATTAACTAAATGAAATAGCGACAATTGCAATGTAAAATGTCTTGGGTTTGTTTCACAGCAAAGACCTGCCTGGCATAAAAAGAAAGAACAGATTTTACAAGAAATGCTCCATGCAAAGTCGAAAGCTTGCAAAAAAATGTGACGTGACATGGCAGGCAGAAAGATGTTGAACTGTCATTCTCATTACTGAAACTACAGAAACATGCTGAGGAATATACATTTGAAGAGGAAAAGAATCAGCATTCACCCGGGATATTATAAAACAGATAACAATTGATATTCTTAATCTAACGAAATTTCATTTCAAGCTTGACTGAATATGTCTTGTCACTAATTAACTGATTCTTTTCATGATAAGGCTGTGGATAAAGGAGAATGGCTAGAATAAGCAATCTTTGAGACAATGCATTGACAAATATGCACCACTCCAGTTCAAACAGGCAATAAAATCAGCATGCCATCTATATAAAAAAAAAGTTGGTTATAGTTATGATGGATAGTAGAACAATTGGTCTGGACATACATTAGAAATAGCTACAGTCTCCAGGTATGCTATGAAATAGGAAAGAACCAGAATCCATGCCGCCTCAGTAACCCACTGAATTTTTCCAGGCAAGTCAGCAATGGCATGCCTTAGCCTGCGGAGGGTCATGTTTGACGTAACATGGTAAAACAAAAGGCAAACATGAGTCAGGAGGAAAGTAAAATGTTTGTACCTGCACAAAAAAGTTAACCAGACCACATGATAAGAAACAGACAGATGATTAAGAAAAGCATAACTAGTCAATGTCTCAAATTTATGGCTCACATTATTCATTTTCCACGATGTAAATGTTTCAGAAGCTCCCAAAACTGTGAAGAAGTAGTGCGTCCAGAAGTAGTTCCCAACGTAACTGAAGATTATTATCCAGAGACTCGCCTGCAAAGCATGGTTAAGTGTTAGGGTGGAAGAGCAGCTCTTCTTTCTGATCCTAATATCTAGCTATATAATGTCCACACAAAGGCCAGCTTCATAACGTAGTGGATGAGTAAAACGTCACATATACAGTCTTCTTTAACTCAAAAAGGAGAGATACACAGCCGTAATGCAACTTGTAAGTTGATGCTCCAGTTTTCATGTAATTCAGATTGTTTAACCAGACCATCGTCACTGAATACCACATTGGCAGGGATATAAAGCAAAGGCACTTTATGATTACTCAAATGTTCCGCTAAATTGTAACAACAGATACAAATTTTAAAGCCCCAGCTCTTTACAGAATCAAACTTGTCAGCTTTTCTCAAGTATATTGTGAGTCACATAACCCACAATAGTGCAATTTACCCATAAACAATTCAGGTTCGACGTGCTCTCTATAATTGCAGGTCCAAATTTCTATCTTAAGATTGATCCAATATTAATTTTAACAGACCAACTCAAATATTTTTCCTAGAAACAAAGTAGAAGTAGCTTGCAGACTGTGCACATCATGCACGAATCAATAAGGCAACATGTGAAACAAAGCTGTTCTAGACACTTCATCACCAAAATGTGTGATCCGTCAGTGGTATAGCGTAAAATTGATGTTACTGAGTGTAAATGTAGATGAGCAACACTCACCAAAAAAAATGTAGATGAGCAATATATATCACTGAAGTAGCTTCTAGAGCATTAAGAATGGACAATTATACCCCAAAAAGCACTTGCCTTGATCCAATGGCGATCCTTCCAGCACAAACTGCTATCCGCCTGCCCAAGTACGTAAATTTAAGGACATTTCACATCAAAAGGGAGTTCTAGCAACGTGGGATTGAGAGATCCATGATTTTCCTTTTGCAAGTCTCTTTTCCTCCAGCATTGTGATTACACAGTGTAGTCAAAATGACTGAAAATGCATAACCATTGGTTTTTAAATGCCAGATAGGAAATGTCATTTCAAGCCCAAGGACCACTACAAGCTAGAGATTTCCACCAATGGCCACATTGCATTGCATAATTTGTCTATCTATTCCACTTATAGGGCAAATAAAATCTAGCAACACGTTGTCCAAACCAAAATACCAATATATCAATCCAGGCAAACTTACACACTCAAAAATTTTTCCAGCTTTAGCAAGGGGTAACCAAGTAGCTTAATTCGTGGTCTTTTGCATTGCATTGCATAAGACTGTTCCTTAGGTAGTGGTCTTTTGGAAACAACCTTTTCAGCCGTATAAGCGACGTATATGTCATTGGGAGACAAACACAATCTGTACAATCCGTTGGACATATAACAGCACCCAACCTTATTTGAATTAAGAAACAAAGAAATAACATTGTTCTTGATTTCAAAAGAGTAGCCATACATGTCCAAACACGATACGGAAACTAAGTTCCGTCTAAAAGAAGGTACATAAAAAGTGTCTTTCAACATTAATCTAAAACCAGAGTCTAGAATCAAGATTACATCTCCCACAAACACAACATCAGCTTTCTCGTTATTTCCCACAGTGAGTCTTGACTCATCCTGATTTGGCTTCCTCCGGTTTATGAATCCCTGTATGGTAAACGCAACATGATTAGTTGCACCGCTATCGAGCCACCAAGAACTGGATGGTGCTTCTGATAGGTTGGATTCACAAACAAGTGCCAAAGAATCATTACCTGTAGGCTCACGTTTGGACAACCAAGCTTTAAACTTTCCACAGTCCTTCTTTATGTGACCTTTTTTCTTACAAAAGAAGCAGTGGCCACCATCCCTTTTGAAGGATGTTTTCTTTGGACCCATATTGTCAGATTGACCGGTAGTTTCATGAGTACCTTTCTGAGTACGATTTCTGAACTTCTTATCCTTCTTTTTGTGGGAACCAGAAACATATAAGGCTAGATGCCCTTTTTCCTTCTTAAGTTTCTCTTCCTCTGCCACCACCCTTGCTATCAAGTCATTCACTGACCAAGTCTCATCTTGGGAATTATAATTTGTCTTTATAATCCCAAAATCAGATGGAAGGGTGTTCAAGGCTTGATGCACAATACAAGCATCAGGAATGGAAACATTAAGAGCTTGAAGCTTCGTCTTTAGGTCTACCATCCTAAGGACATAATCTCTAACCCCAGCAGTACCATCATACTTCATATTGAAGAGCTTTTGAAGAAGTGTACCAACCTCAGCATTAGATGAAATGCGGTTTCTAGCCTCTAAGGCTGTCATCATTTCCTTAGCAGTACAGTCAGCTGGCAAACCACTTTTCAAGTGTTCTTGAATGGATTTTTTCATTGTCAATAAGCAAATCCGATTGCTCTTTTCCCAGGCAGCATAGTCCGTTTTCTCGCCTTCGATCTTGGTGGCCATGATATCGCGGCTTATCCTTTGTAAGAGCAATGTGAACATCCGCCTGACTCCATTCCAAATAGAAAATCCTCTTTCCATTTCTTAAAGTTCAAACCAGTAAGGACCTCAATGGAAATGGAATTGCCGTTTACAGAAAAGGTGACTGGAAAACAAACAAACAATACAATCAGCATCATGTGAGTACTTATCCAAAGAGTTACATACATCATCACATAATCACCTTTAGGCAGAAAATATGACATGCAGTTGTATTCTCTTCACATGACAGCGGCCATGAGAACATATTCTAATTTTTCGTGAAATCACCACCTTTGGGTGTATGAACCACTAAGATTAGTCATTTCTCAAGCACATGCTATACATGTACCCCTCCATGAACAAATACAAGATCACCTCCTTTGGGAGTATGATCATGCAATAGAACAGGAGACATCCCACCACAATATGAGACCGATATTTCTCAAACCCAGTCAAGTGTGCCACTTTGGCGGTCACTACCCAACTGAATCTTTGAAAATCTCTCATACCAGAGATATGTACTTTATGTATCACATTCACTATATACATGTAATGCTAGACGTAAAGACAGGGGCGTATATCTCTAAAATTACATGCCATGCTAATTATATTGTTCCATTCATTGATAGACAATGAATTATACTCTACATAGTCCTTATGTGGTGATATACATGTGAGCTACCATATGTATTTCCGAAACCAAAGAGAAATACAAGAAAATACGCAAAATACCCTAAAAATACGAGTATATAGGGTTGTATACGTATTTTCACATCTTTAAAAGCTTCAAAAATATAAAATAAATACACCACAATGTAGAGCATCTCAATACGAGCGCGACGATACCAAGAATGTCCAAAACGGACGTCGGACGCGCCCTCACGCGCCGTCGGAAGGCGCGGTGCGTGCGCGCGTGTTCAGCCGGTCAAACCGGTCTGAACAGCCGGTCCGACCGGTTGACCGGTCCAACCGGTCAACGGACCGGTTTGACCGGTCGGGTCGGGTCAACGGGTCGGGTCATGATCCGGGTCGGGTCGGGGCAACTATCCGGTCGGGTCGGGTCGGGATCCGGGTCAACCGAATCCGCGCCTCGGCCGACATCATGCCGACGTCGGCCTGCGATTCTCGGCGAACAAACGCGCCGGTTTGGCACGGCCGCGCGTGACCGTCACGCGCCTCCGCGCCTAGGGCGCGTGTAGCCGCGTGAAGGCGCGTCCGGCCTCCTCCGCCGACGATCCGCCCACCATTCTTCTCGTCTCGACAAGTAGATTCCAAATATATAATAAAATTTAACTTTTATCCTACAAAAAATTTCGAAACTGGGCAAAAATCTCTCGGACAAAACTAAAACGGTCCTAATCCGTATGTTTCAGTTCTAATCTATGGCAGGCTCTGATACCAAATGTAGGCCACGAAAATGGCACGCCCAGGATCACCATAATTAGAAACCGAAACACGATAATGGAGAAATTGTAGATTCGTGTACCTGGTTTGGAATCCATCGAACTTGACGCGGAATTTGCGACGGTTTCCGAACACGAACTCAAATGCTTCTCCCCTATCCCTTCGTTAGAACACTGGCCTAATGAGATTGCCACTCACGAGAAGAAAGTTCTCTCTAAATCCGTATGTGAGTCAAATTGTGCATCATGAGGTTAGGGGAGGGACTTGAGCGCTATTTATAGAGTCTTCGACCACGGGCCCTCTCATTACGGGCCGGGCCGTACTCGGCCCACACCAGCCAGTCCCATATTAGACTTATTAAGAACCCATATATCTTACCTTTATTAGACCAAACTAATTCAGTTAATTTCAATTAATGAAGCCCACATTAGGAAATTCTTACGGTCTTGGCTGATCATGGTTTCCTTTGGAGATTGTTTGGGGACTTCCGACGGTTCCGCTCGAATATATATGTAGTTCCACCGTCCCGAGCTCCTGAGCTCCACCATCGCCTCTCGCCTCCGCCCGATAAAGTCGAGGTCCTGATCTCAGGCAGAATGAGGTCCTCTTTACTTTGGAAACAGTTTTAGAGGGTACGCACACAAATGCACGGTTGCTTAGCAGTTTAGGTGTTTAATTGTTTTCACCATGTATGGTTCAGTGACTCGAGTCTCCATATGTTATGCAGTTTTTTCCATAGTGCGCCGCTGTTGTGAGTTCTGTTTGCAGAGGCCAGTCGCTCAATATTTGAATCACTCCCGACCTCCGCCGTCGCCTCCTTCCGCCCAAGACCAGCTGGGTCCCGAGCTCTGACCGCCGTCGCCCGAGAGCAAGCCGTCCGCCCGCCGGTCCAGAGCTCCGACCTCCGCCTCCCCCGAGTGGTTTGCGGTAATTCTGATATCAAATCGACAGATGTTTCTGCTTTTCAGTTTCTGTTAATAGCTTGGTCAAACATCCCTCCCTCTTCTTCGTATGTTTCATATCTTCAAAGGAATTGCTTTTACATCATTTGAAACGCGGCACTATCAATGGACAGCAACGGGAAGATCAGGAAATCATCTGAATCAAAATAAAAGATACGACAACATTTCAGGCTGACATTAGAGCCATCCTAATTCTGGGCTTTTGTTTCTTCTCTTCATCCCCAGAACAAGAAAATTCTTGCATATGTGGGACAATATTCATCAAAACCTGATTTTTACTTTTTGTAGCCAACAAAGTGCATACCGTGCTGGCTATAAGATTAAAAATTGTTCATTTGCCTTTTGGCAATCTTAGTAGGCACCATGTTGTGCCATGAGATCTTACTCTCCTAGTTCAGTTCTCCAATTTCTTACAACAATGGATTTGTGTTCTGTATTTATATGCATAGACTGAGTTTCGAGGGTACACAATAAAATCTTGTTATATACCCCGTAACAAACAATAACTAGATTATGGTGCCTAGATTTACATAGTAATTCACCGAATAGGTAAATTAAAATGCCTAAAACATTTGGCATCTAACAATTTCTTTTTTTAATTATATTTTCAAAATAGACATTTAGCAATTTTGTTTTATTTTGCTGCCTTCTTTGCCATGTCTAATACATCCGGTCCAATTTTGTCATTATCATCTTTTCTTTATCAGCTCCATACGTGTCCTTCGGTTTTAGGATAGTGTTCTACCATTTAATTACTCTTTGACCTAATGTTGCCCCCTGGATGTCTTCATCTTGCAGAAACAAAAGCTGCTCAATGCTTGTCCTTTGGAATTTGGCATTGTGAAGAGATTTTTGAAATATATATTGGATCGTGAGTTACCGGTATGCCCCTCAGATTGTTTGTGCCATTATATTTTTTAAAAAAAATGCACCTTGTTAATTGACTCTGGCAAAGACAAAAGCACACTACACATAAAGCAAATCTTAATCTTGCACTCATATGCTTCTCATGCCTTTCACCCGAGACTGATCATTTTGTCTTTTACTATATATCAACATCCAAATTAAAAGTAATAATGATAGATGACCTGAGCTGAGGAAGCAGTGTCTCGTTTAGAGCATGTTGTCAGGAGTTTTTTTTTATATATGTCCAGTTTCTGCATGATTTTTTTTCGTCTTAGTTGCATCACCGCTTTGTTATTTCTTTCTTTTTAGATCATTAGTTATTGGTTTGAGCAAACATAGATTGGTCTCCAAAAATTCTCATCTTATAATTCTTCTTGTGGATAATTTGTTACTTCAGATATGGTCATTATGTTTTGATTTATCATATCTCAGGAATACCTTGTTGTGCTAATTCGGCCCTGTGCAAGGAACTTTCAAGTGCCCTAGGTTCCATCTCTCTCGGATTCGCTCGCGATTAGTTGGTTAATTCGCAAGTGTAAGGTTATCCGATGGCTGAGTTGGAGGTAATCTTTAACTCATGCTATGGGAAACATATTTGCTGGATGTTATTTTGCTTGTGAAAGCACTACATTAAATACTTGTTGCTCTTTGCTTGCAGCATGAAATAGCATATGTTACCCGTGACTTGGAAAAAGATTTCGAGTTTATGGTAGGAATGGTTTTTACAAGTGAACTTGAAGCATATCATAAATATGTAGCCTATGCTATAAGTAAAGGATTTGGAGTGAGGAAGTCTAAGACTAGAAAAAACGACAAAGGAGAAATAACTCGACGCACTTTTCTATGTAATTGTGAGGGTTATTCTACCAATTCATCTGAACAAGAAAGAAAATATGAAAGACTTGAAGTTAGATGTGGGTGTCCTGCATTTATTAGATTTAAGGTTGAGAATGGTATTTATGAAGTTATAGAGTATGTTCGCGAGCATAATCATGGATTTATACCTAAACATCAAAGGCACTTGATAAGATGTGGAAGAATGATTCCCGATACTTGCAAGGGTGTTTTAGTCGATATGACTAAGGCTGGTATTGGAGGGACCATGGCATATAAGTTCTTAGCAAATGAAGCAGGAGGAAGCCAAAACTTGGGTTTCATCCTGCGCGATTGTCAAAATTTTTTGCAAAGTGAAAGATTGACTCATATAAGTGGGGGTGATTGTCAAAGTCTTCTGAATCATTTTCATCGCATGCAAATGCAGAATCCAATGTTTTTCTATGCACAATAAGTAGATCAAGATGGTAGATTGACAAATCTATTTTGGAGAGATAGTTTGGCCAAATTTGATTATGATTGTTTTGGTGATGTGGTGGTTTTTGATACCACGTATCGTACTAACAAGTATAATATGATATGTGCACCTTTTGTTGGAATCAATCATCATTGGAAGAATACTTTGTTTGGTTGTGCATTTTTGTTGGATGAGACCGCAAATTCATTTATTTGGTTATTTGAGATGTTTTTGAATTCTATGGAAAATAAGGCTCCAAAAACCATTTTCACCGATCAAGACCAAGCCATGGCAAAAGCCATTCGAACGGTGTTTCCGAATACTCAACGCCGTTTATGCACATGGCACATTGGGAAAAATGCCAATCAAAACATTCCACATCTTTACCACAAGTCAGAGTTCAAGGATAAATATTTCTCAAAACTTATGTATAAGTGCAAATCAGAGGATGAATTTGAATGTACTTGGAGGAAAATGGAAGAGGAGTGGGGTACTGAGAATAACAGTTGGCTTCGGAGGTTATACGACCTTAGACATAAATGGAGTTCGGCTTTTGGTCGTGACATTTTTTCTTGTGAAATAAGATCAAGTCAAAGGAGCGAGAGTACTAACAATGTCTTCCAAAAAATGTCGACTAAGACATTGACCCTTGTAGAATTTGTTTACCACTATGAAGAACAATTGAAACATATGAGAGAAATTGAAGGTCAAGATGATTATAAATCTCGTGGGAAACCCAAATCGCAGCTTGCGGATAATAGGATAGTGAAGCATGCCGGTTTGGTGTATACTCGTACCATTTTTAAAAGGTTTCATGAAGAATTTCTTCAAGGTGTCTCCGAACTTGTTTCAAGTGAAGCTTTTGATGGGGTAATTTTGCACTACACTCTCGTACGTGAGGGGATTGAAGGTGAACTGTTGTCAAATTTAACCCTGTTGACTTTTCAGTTTCTTGTACGTGCAAACTATTTGAATCAAATGGGTGGTTGTGTCGCCATGCTTTGCACGTGTTGAATAGGAACATATCGGTTTCGGTCGTTCCATTTTCCTATATATTGAAAAGATAGAGTAAGGGTGCAAAACAAGGGTGTGTGAATGATGAATCTCATGAGATGTCATCGGGTCCTTCTACATTTAATCGATTTTCCACGTTAATGCGAAATTCTTTTGAAGTGATGAGTTTGGGAGCCCAAGATGAAAATACTATGAGGATAGCGAAGAAGAACTTGGATGTAACAGTGGCTAAAATTTCGGCATACAACTCAAGTCTCGTTGTGATAGATGATGCTAGTGATGATGATAATGATGATGATAATGATGAGACTTCTTTGCCAGAGATGCCGACATTGGATCCCCTTCGAAAGAAAGGAAAGGGAACTACTTATGGAAGGCTTAAAAGCTCGAGTGAGAAAAAGAAGAAAAAATATAAGAAAGGAACACCCCAAAATCTAATAGAAAGTCGAGGTGAGCTGAGCGATGTAAAGTTCTAGCTAATATGTTAAGTTTATTTTTATACTTATGCTACATCATGGCAATTAATATATTGCTTATTTTACAATGTAGAGTTGGCTGTCCAAGCAACGGAGGATGTGACTAATTTACCAGATTATTCAAGATATTCAAATCAGACTCGAAATACCTTGCGTCCTAACAACATTGGTGGTCCTATAGTAAATCTCAATCTCCATAATCAGGTGTGTCACTCTAACTTCAACATTTATATTTACATTCTACTAATTGGTTAACTTTTTTTATATAGATGCAACCACCATACATTATGCCGACAGGGATTATGAATGGATTTTCCTCATTCACTAGTCAGGTATTTAGAGTTTGGGTTACTATATTGACTGAAATTTGTTGCAAATTCTAAGGTTTATTATTAGTGATGTATCGTTTATAGATGTTGGAGTAGCAAAATAGATACATTCTACTAACGAGGTCATTTTTTTATATAGATGCAACGACCATATATCATGCCGCCAGGGGTTGTAAATGGATTTTCCCCATTCACTAGTCAGGTACCTATTATGAAAATCATTTTAGATCCCGGTGCTATTTCACTTTAGTAAACTATTCTAATGCTTATTGATAACGGTTTTTTGTACATAGATGTTGGAGTACCATAATAGATCCCATGGAAACATTTTGAGTCAGGTACAAGTTGCCTCACTTTTTTTGACGTGGGATTATTTGAGATAATATTTATGCAGGCACATTGTTTAGCATACCGCCTTGTCTCAATGTATTATTTATATACCTTTGTACAGGGGCCATCAAATTTTTTTCCACATCCTAGGATGCATGAATTGAACGATTATGAAGGCATAGACAATGCACGGTCGCATGACAATTCGTCGGAAGGCGGAAGATAGCGGGATGGAATGTAGCATCTATATGTTCCACAGGTGATAGCGCTGCGTATCAAAGATCCTTAGCTTTGGGGACGACATAGTGATAGTAGATACAACTTGCTCTTTTTATGTGCATATGCCTTTTTCCATCTTCACTTTTTTATCACGAGTAGGAGGTCTCTAAGTCGAAGTCGCCATGATGTAGCTGATCTATTGCAAGTAATGGCAACCAGAAGTCCCAATGTAGACTCCGCAAAGCTTTAACATTTTTAGGCTGATCTCGTGATGTAGAATAAGGGGCAGCGCTTAAAATATGGAGACTATGTAACTGGTTTAGGTTTTCTTTTATACAAAGTGAAAAACCTTCGGATGAAATTTGGAGCTTTAGAATTTACAGTGACTGAAAGCTTGTGAAGAAATAATTGAATTCAAGTTGACTGCATCCAATCTTTGATCCTTAGTGTTAACGTTAAACATCTTAGCATTTTTCTTCTGTAGTTTTGCTTTGCTTGTGGATAGTCTCCTACTGTATGGTTTGCTTTTGGTTTGACCATAAAAATTGTTGTGCCTGTAACTACACCTTACTATTTTACACTGTAGAAAGGGAAGCTTGTCAGTAGCCTTTTAAAGTTGATTACTTTCTTTTTTCTCTTTCCCCATTTTTATGGGTATTCTGTTTCGTAGGCTTCTCTCTTTAGCACAGTGCATCTCTATCTTGTTTTGCTGCACTGTGGAAAACGTTAATTCAATAGGATTAATCCGTAAGGAAGAAGAAATGATGCTCAAATGGCTGATAATAGGTTCACTTGGCAACTGGCATGTACTTTGGAGTTAATGCTATGCAGTTCCATTGTATCGTCAATATAGTAATGAAAACTAAAGACAGCCATTTTGAAATATATCCACTCCTGCAAGGTCTACTGCAATGCCTTTTAATTCAGTAATCTGAATTGTTGCTGTGTGGCTTTACTATGTATTTACTTGCAGGTTTCTGTTGGATACTTTCTCACAGACCTTGGGATGATATTCTGGTTTTATCCATCACCAGTGGTCTACATTTATCATCGTGATACTCCCAAGTTGGTGTCAACCGTTTTCTGCTTCTGGGTGAATGCAAATTTGTATTGAGAGTCTGATAACTCCTTGTCATAGTTTCCATGTACAATTTTCTCATGTATGAAGAAATTCTTGGGTAGTGAATGCAGGTTTCTTGATAAATGCTTCTGGCCTTTTTTCACTTAAATTATAGCTTTCACTTTTTTGGTTCAGGTACCTTGACACGGTTGGAATGAAGAAGTCTAAAGCATATCTTATCAACGGTGTTGTCATATTCTTATCTTGGCTGGTAACTTCACGCTACTGCTGTCTGTTAAATTGTTAAAGTGATTCTGTTTGCTACAGTAACTTTTATGCATCTTGTAATTGTTTGACCTTCTGTGACACTCTTATTACATCTGTGCAGGTTGCCAGAATTCTCCTATTTGTCTACATGTTTTACCATGTCTACTTGCACTTACATCAGGTAATAACCTCTCATAGTCTTTATTTGTTTAGTTTCATTAGAAATAATCACTAAGGTTGCTCTTCTCTATGGAAAAATTATTGTTTGCAAGAACTTTGCATTTGCAAATTAATGTCTTGGCAGATAACATGCTTTAATTCCTTTCTTTTTCTTTTTTTAAAACTCTGTATCTTATATTTATAGTGGCGGTCTTGGTTGTGGCCTGCCATGTGTTATATCCATATTAAAATTCTCAAACCATTTATCAGTCTAGATGGTCTATCTCTGTGCAGGTCAACGAGATGCGTGTGTCTGGGAAATTCTTGGTGTTTGGTGCACCATTGGCGCTAACTGTGATGAACTTATTGTGGTTCGAAAAGATCATCAAGGGATTGAAGAAGACTATAGCAAAGAGGCAGTAAAAGGTGTATAAGGTATTTTGCAGGTCTAGCCATTAGAGAGAAATAGTTGATCCACTCATATCTGGCTTTCCCTTGTGTAAAAAAGTGAGAGGGAAAGATAGAAAAGTTCAGGACCCCTTAGGTTATAGATGGAGAAATTCGGATAATGGACTTGCTTGTAACAGCATCTTCGGTGTCTGAAGTTTAATCATTTGGTTGCATCACGAGCTCCACTTCTGAATTAGATGTATATAGTGTGAAGTACTTATTTATTTGGATTTGAATGGAGATGAAGTTGCTGGAGATCAATGCAATTACTAGTGAGTTCTTTTGCCTGAAGCTTACGTGCGTTTACCAAAATACTGTCCACCCTATGGAAATTATGGCACTGCGACTCTACGTTTTGATTAGATTGTGTAGACATCACTTTGAGTATGGGATTGTTAAAATTCACTTTTGAGTATAGGACCGTTGCTCTAATACCACTTGCTAAATGCGGACGTGTGGCTCCGATAACACTTGCTGAGTACGGAAATATGGTGACACAAGAAAATTGTATCTGGTAACTCAAGACACCGAAATACGGTACAAGTATACCACTAATAAAATATTGTCTCATACAACTAGTACACACACTATACGTGAATAGCCAGAGACCACAGCTTGCTGTTGCAAAACTTATTTTCACACATTACACACAAAACTCTGGATCAGCATCTATTGAATCAGATTGAGAGTGACCACTCAATGGTCAATGCAACACAATCGGATAATGAAAGGTCTTCAATAGGCCATGGATAATGTAGTTTTTAACGTATCCTTCTCTTTTGGCTAGTTTTTTTCCATACAATCCTACTCATTATATATCTTGTTATGTAAACAAATGGGAGTGGAAAAGGTATCAATCCAAATACACATGTCCAGTTTTGACCCAAAAAATGAAAAATACATGTTCAATCAAGAGGCACTGTGTCCAATTTGGAGAAAAAGAAAAGATTTCGATTGAGCAATTGTTGCGTTATAGTGAAAAGTGCAACCAGAATGTTTATTGTAAAACCTGCGTCCGAATCTGTAAAATCAGTGACTCTAGATACTCCGAAACTCACATGCCACAGACGGATGCATGTGCCGAAAACAAGAGCGACAATACTTGTAGACGCCGCTCAGAATCACAGTTCTTCGTTCTTCCATTCAATCGATTGAACAAGTGAAGATTCTAAAAGTAGCCCCCAAGGTTCATGACGAGGACATTTATTTTTACACCTCCACAAACCACCCAAAAGTGGAGGGAAACTTAGGAAACCAGCATAACTCTCAGACAGAGATTACAACCACCCCAAAAAAAAAACAAATAAAACCATCGGTCCGATCAAACTACACAACTTTCCTAAATTCTTTTTTCCATCAATGCGCCGAGCCACAAGTGAGGAAAATACTCTCATCATGGCTTAAGAGCCGGGGTGAGACCAACCTTGGCACTCTTATCAATGGATTTGGTGTCGACCTCCCCAGAGACGGTAAAAAATGACCTTGGGTGCCACTCGCGCTGGATAAGAGCGCTTGCCTTACCAGAGTTGTTGATCCGTGCCTTCAGCATGGTCAATGGGTCCAGCGCATGCTGGGTACCGACAGTTATGGTGTTTACATTGGAAGAAAAGCCGTGGGTAACCTCAGCACCGATGGCAGTTTTGGTCACAAGGTTCACTATGTGGTAATAGGATGCAATCAGTGAGTCACCCTTGTTGTTCCTGCATAGACAATGAGAATGTTAAGCGAAATAGGGACAAAAAGCGCAGAGTATCCACACCAGCTCTTCACTTACATAATAAAGCAATCTAGTTTCATTCTCAAATTCAAAAGAGATATGTTGCTATTAGAACCCGGTTGATTCTTAAAAAGCTAGAGGACCTCCTAATCTAAACGTTAGAAGAATGGCTTCCACTGTACATGAAAGGAAACATATAGGTTTTAGGATGCCCCTTTCTTCAAAAGAAGTACAAGCTATAATCAAGACTAAAGGCAGGTGACAACTTCAGAACATCCGAACTGTTATCTAGTAATGTCAACATTGGACCAGACAATGGCCAGTGTTATTCAAGAGAACATGAGAGATCCAACATGGAGTACAAGCTAGGTACAGATATATAGAAACTTTCCGGTTCATGAACAAGAAATGCAAACTACTCACATGGCCAATGACGCAATCAGGTCAGCATTTGAGAAGCTGATGCTAGCATTGCATTTGGTGAAATTGCTTGTTTTGCTGTCAAATGACACACTCGTGCCAAGTGACAAAACATTACTTCCTAGCACAGCAGCAAAGTTGACAACAGGATTTGCAGTCAACCCAACGCTTGTGCTTGTCCCAGCATAGTCATGCAAATATTGTAGCTCAATCTGTTAATTGCAAAAGTCAGGAAGCGCCTTTCTCTCAGTAACAATAATATATCCAGTAAAGGAGCTCAATAAAAGCAATGACATGCCCGACTCAGATGATTAACAAAAAAACCATCATCCTTTTCTAATCAGCATTAAAGATGCCATGAGACATGAATGCTCACCTGGCCAGACCTTTGATCTGGCACTGTAAAAGAGAATATTGTCTTCAGTCCAGGGCAAGGTTCATCAACAGTAATTTTTGTGACAAGCTACGTATTATGAGGCAAGGTTCAGCAAAACCATGAAACAATTAAGTAAGGTATCGGAGATACAACTTATTCTTGTATAGAACTTAATGAGTTATAAGACAAACATGTACAATATAGACTTAATCAGCCTCATAATAAGTTCTTGACATAAAAGGCCTTTTTCCACAACCATAACATACAGCACACCATTTATGAATCCCCTTGAGCCACGATCCAGTACTTGGTCCCCAGTTTTAAAATTTCTCTCCATGATTGCTGAAAATCGATTTACTTGACTCAACTACTCAAATAGCAAACAAAGATAGTAGAATAGGGTCCTGAAAATTGACTCACTTGACTCAACTGCTCATGTAGTAAACAAAGACTGTACAACAGGGTCCCATAAAGCTGGCCTCCTACAGGTACATGGTACAACCTAATTTAACAAATTACAAGAAACAAGTACAATGCTAATTGACACTGCTAGCCCATTGGTAAATAGCACCGAAAGTTGCAGTTTACCTATAATGTTCAGACGCTAACTACTAAAGACAACGCAGAGTCTTCCCTGATTACTATAAAGAATAAACCAAAACCATGTTTCAAAGGATCACAAGAAACCAACCAGTGATCCCAATAAGCGTATTCTTGCACACCATGTTCTTGACACCCAACCCATTTCCATTCTGGTCATAGAGCTGGCTTTGCTAATGACAAGCAATCATCAGGAGTTTACATTCAGTATACCATTGGCCACTATCCATTTCTCCATCAACCCCCTCCCGCCCCTCGACACCCACCCAGATATGATTTAGAGAAAGAACAACATGCTATAAGAGAACTTTTCACTTTCTTCGTGCTATAAATTCACAACACTTACATTGGAGTTCGTGTCCACTTTGTTGCTGCAAGATGTTATAGTCTGCAATATCATTGTGAATCTCAGTTGCATTAATAAATAAATAATATGCTGCAGACAATCCCAGCAATTAAACTACGATACCAGACGAGAGCAAGCTTTTTCATCTAGCTCGAAGCGCATAAAAAGTGACTATCCAAGACAAAAGCAGGAATGTCGACATCTAAGAGTTGCTATAGAGCTCGAACTGAGAGCGAATTCATCGAGTTTATTACACTCCTTATTTGCAAATACAATGTAAAACCAATTGAAATCAGCAAACTCATTAACCGACTTAAAGAACATCATTCTTCCGAAACTATCCAACGGTTTAGATCCAGAAACTGATTTTTCAGGTTCTGCACAACCACGTCCGAGTTAAAAATGCACAGTGCCGTGTGAGAACACATCGCTCTTTTCAAACATCGACGGAACAGTCGGAAGTCCCCAAACAATCTCCAAAGGAAAGCACGATCAGCCAAGACTACATCAAATCCTATGAAGAAACAGCCGTCGTTCACCAAGTCCAAAACCACGAACGGTTTCAATCGCAGCTCAAGGAAGTGAACAAGCATGCAAAGGTCTCCCAAAAAAAAAAAACAGAGGGAAAAACTCACGGCTCCCGTGACCGAGGAGGGAGTGATGGTGAACTTTGGTCGCTCTGGTAGTCCTTGTAGAGGAGATTTGCACCACAAACAACCGCGACGACCCACGCGCCCACCGAAAAGTTGCGGAGGAGAGGAGACGACACCGGAGCAGGAGCAGGGGACGAAGGAGAAATGATTGTCGAGAAAAAATATTAGGTGGTCCCGGACCGCCTCGTCAGCGTGGTCCCCGACCACTCACGAGGCGGAGGTCGGGACCGGCGGGCGGGCGGAGGCGACGGCGGTGAGAGGTTCGAGACCCAGCAGCTCTTGGGAGGGCGGAGGCGACGGCGGAGGTCGGGACCGGCGGGCGGAGGTCGGAGGCGACGGCGGTCAGAGCTCGAGACGCAGCTACGACAGCGGTGATTGGGACCGGCGGTCGGAGGCGAAGGTCGGTACCGGCGGTCGGAGGCGGAGGTCGGTACCGGCGGGCGGGTGAATCGCTCCCGGGCGGGAGCGATTTTTTAAAAAACGGAGAGAGAATGCGGGCTTCTTTCGCGAGTTTCTCTGAAGAGATGAGGAGATAGAGAAGGAGAGAGAAGGAGGAGGCCCCACATTAATGAAGAGAGAGAAAGACGGAAGAGATTGATGGGGGCGTAGGTCCGTACCTTGCAGAGGAGGGGAGCAGGCTAAAAGGGAAAAAGAATTAATATTTTGTGGAAAAAAAGGGGTCCCGGCTCGCCGATCCCACCAGCGCCACGTGAACCACGTGGCGCCCTGTGAGTGATCGGGGACCACGCTAACGAGACGGTCCGGGACCACCTAATATTTTCTCGTTAAGAACTGTATAAGTCGTAAAGGGGGTGGAAAAAGCATTTGAATATGGATATCACTGTTCGCTAGTAGGTTTTAATAGCTTTAGAAGCGGTGCAAACTTGTTAAGTAGTGAGAGAGTGGGAGAAAACGCAAAATAAAGGCGATCTTGTTATAACCGCTTATTCGGTTTTCTTCTATATTAACAGATATTTTTCCTCTTGAATGTGTAGACTCGTTAATGCGCATCATAGATGTAAATAGGACGGTCTTTGGGATTCATAAAGTTGATTTCACAAGTTAATAAATGCAAACTATATTCTATGTATACAAAAGAAGGAAAGAATTCATTTCAAAGAACATTATGGTTTTTCGCATTATCATTCAATTTGATCTGTTTAACGTCATATACTTACTTACTTAGGGATTATAGATATCTTATTTGAGGCTAGAGAGATCTTCGGGCTTCCGGGTGATCTTGCTGAAACATTTTCTTTGGTTCTACCACCCTCTATTAGTCCTTCTAATTTCCCTAATGTCATAGTGATTTCTTATTAACTTTTCCCTCGTCCGAATTCAATTTCTATTCCCCTATTGTTGTTACGCTTAGACCTGTCAAACAGGTGGGTCGAGTAGAGTCAAAAATGGTCTGACCCAAATAGACCCGTTTTGACCAAATCCGATCCGTTTTACTAAAACAATTTCATATTTAACCAAATCTTGGAAAACTCATACTCAAATTGAGGCGAGAGTGTGGAGTGAGTGAGTGTGGAGCGAGTGAGTGCGAGATCGAGTAAGATCGAGAGTGAATGAAGAGAGAGCCGTAGAGATGGGTTGGATTTAAGTAAGTTGTAAACCCATTGATGACTCATTTAATACCCATATTATGTTTAAACCCATTTATGACTCATTTACTAAATATAACTAAACCATATAATAACTCGTCCAATTATATATGGGTTAAGAAATGAGTTTATGACTAATTTAGACAAGTCTAATTACGTCAAGAGTCATGCCTACAAAGGACACCCCAAATCCTTCACATTGCATAATTAAGATTAAGTTAGGTAGGATTAGGCGATGATCATGCTCAATTAGCGGTCCCTCTTCACTCGTGTGTAGCACTTTACATACATTGCGTCATGATCCGTTGGAATGAACTTTTGTTGCCCGCTTACGTTTTATTCTCAAATTCGTCAAGCCTTTCCGAAGTCATGAATACAATGATTGGAGACTGCATTCAATTGGAGACGGAATGAATTGGCCTTGGCCACTTAAAGTCGGCAGACCTTACGTGAATTAATGCCTAGATTACGAAGTAGGCTGGGGAATGATGGAGACCGAGATGGTACAAGGCAAAACATGCATGCATAGAGAAAGATCCGTGCGCGACGAAGAATCAGGAGAGGAATATGCAATCGATCGGCAACTCCGATTCTCAAAACCATCACCGGCAACGATCGCAATCTCCACCCACAACATCGTCGAACGTTGTAGCGAAACTCCGAGTCCTCCACGGTCCCCGACGCCCCCATGAGTCCATGACTCCCCCCACAGATTCTAGATCGGTGACCCTCGACAAGCCTCCTCCGGACAACTCCAAGGCCGTCATCACCATTGACAAGCGAACCCAGTACTCCTTGCTCCGTTCGCCCCTTCCCGAGGTCCAGAAACCGGTTGAGAGTGCAAATCACAAATCGGCATTTTACCAAGAGGGGGAGGGGGCACGTCAGCTATTTACGGTGACTCGGCCGGGAGCGATTCCGACGAGCATGTAAGCTCGATGCAATTTGATTATCGAATAATGTAGATCTCGTATGAAAGTTGCGTAATTTGACGAGTTAGTTGAAGTGGGTTCACATGCGCTCGCTACATGCAATAATTTTTAGTCTAAAGCTTTTCTCTCTTGGGAAAATGACACAAATGGTCCTAGAAATTTTACTCAATAAGTAATGTGGTTCATGAACTTTAAATATGTTTAATGTGGTTCCTGAGTTTTAGCCTAATATGCGATGTAGTCCATGAACTTTCAATTTATTCAATATGGTTCATGAACTTTTGATACATGTTCAATCTAGTCCTCAGATCATATGAAAATGTTCAATGTTAACTTGAATTAATGAAAGAATAACATTGAACATTGTTATATAATTTAGGGACTAACTCGAACATGTACCAAAAGTCTATAGATCACATTGAATAAATTAAAAGTTCAGGAATGACATTGCATATTAGGCTAAAGTTCAGAAACCGCATTAAACAGATTAAAATTGTAAGGACCACATTGCACTTCGGGTCAAAATTTGTCGATTATTCGTGTCAATCGCCCTTCTCTCTCTTATTCTCACAGCCTTTTGATTTTGTTCCTTTTTCGCTTTTCATGCATGCTGGCTCGGCTCCCTCTCCACATACATACATATATATATCTCTGCAACCACCCAACATCTCCATTTCACTCTCTGTTCTCTCTCTCTCTCTCTCTCTCTCTCTGCATCACTTGCAGTTTCCTTCATTCTTCTCCGTGTGACTGTGAGAGTGACAAAAGAGATTGGCTGAAATGGATGAACCAAAATCGCCAACTGTCGCTGCTTCCGGTCCCAAGAAGCCTCGGTCGAACAAGTACGTTCTGTTCTGTGCCATCTTGGCCTCCACGAACTCGATCCTCTTGGGCTACGGTGAGTATCGACTCGTCCCATTTCTTTCTCCAATTGCGCAGATGCGCTTCTCCAGCCGAAGTTTAATTCGAATTAGGAATTTGGAGATGGGTAAGGGGTGATGTTTTGTCACGGGATAGGCTTGAAAAGGACACGATTTTCGGTGATCTGTTGATCGAATCAACCGTGGGTATAAGAAATGGTTATGAATTGGCGTGTTGGTTGGCGTAAGACAGTCGGAATTGTCGCCATTTCTACTGAGAATCCTGGGAAAAATTCCGAGGTGAGCGTGGTAATGATCGTTTGATTTTGCAGACATCGGGGTGATGAGCGGTGCTGTGACCTTCATCAGAGACAACCTCAAAATCACGTACGTCCAAGTACAAATCCTCGTGGGCATACTCAACGTCTGCTTGCAGGTCGGCGCACTGGCCTCCGGCAAGACCTCCGACCTCATTCGGCGGCGATACACCATCGTCCTGGCCACATCGACCTTCCTGATCGGGGCCCTGTTGATGGGACTCGCACCGTCGTACGCGTTCCTCATGGCGGGCAGGGTCGTGGCCAGTATCGGGGTGAGGTATCCCCTCATGATCGCACCGCTCTACACGGCTGAGATTGCCCCGGCCTCAGTGAGGGGGATGCTCACCTCCCTCCCGGAGTTCTTCATTGTGGCCGGGATCTTGCTCCGGTACGTTTGCAATTACGCCCTCGCCAGCCTCCCCGAGCGGTTCAACTGGAGGATAATGCTTGGGATTGCTGCCATTCCGGTGATCGGCCTCGGGTTGTGCATCTTTTTAATGCCTGAATCACCTCGGTGGCTCGTCATGAAAGGCAGGATTGAGGAGGCGAAAAGGGTGTTGTTAAAGA